GGTGTTTCATAAAACAAAATCAATGAGTATGTAAATTATGCCTACTGGCTTCCAAAATGTTAACAATTTGCCTTGCAATGCATGTCAGTATGGATGTGTTATTGTGTTACTACACTTTTAAAAATACTTTTAAAAAATATACTTTACAATAGGAGCTTTGTTTGCAGTATCTAAAAGTATTTCTGTAGAACCAACCACCTGGAGAACACTTTCTGAAAGCCAACAGGCTTCTGTTAAAATGTTATTTATGATTCCATGACGTTTGTTTTTTTTTAAAAAAGACACATTCTGAAAATCAGAGTCTTGTCCTTCATAATTTGACTATCTTCCTGAAACACCAATTATTTTTGCCTCAAAAAGGGAACGCTGTGTTAATATTTACCTTCATTTCTACCGGTCTCCAGTCAGGGTGAGTCACAAAACCCCAAACTTTCCTAAGACCTGAAACCTTCCTCTAGGTCCATGCTTTCTAGAATTCTGTATGTGCAAACAACAAGTGATTTAAGTTCCCCAAGTGAAAGAGGAAATTGGGGAGTAAGAGCTTGTCCACATCTCTGAGGCTGGGAGGAGCCCACACATTTAACCATACCATCTGTACAAATGGTACCAGAGTTCAACATGCTTATGATTAGAAGAGCTTATGATTTATGCTTGCTAGTTAAATATGCTTATGATTTAAAATTATTTTCTCTGGCAAGAAATAACCTAGTCAGCACCACAGCTTAGCCAGATGATGGGAAATAGATACATATTTCAATGGTACACATTTTAACTTGCTGAGCCCAGTAAATACTACTGTTTTCTTTTCTTCCTATAACAAAAGATCTATCTTCCCATAGGACCTCAAAGGGTTTTAAAAATACACTCATTAGGGAAAGCAGTTAAAAGTTCTGTAACAGCGGTTACTACAACCAAAAGAATCACCGGGGTTGGCCTCTGAAAAACTGGCTCTTCAGTGGGAAGGCAGAGCCTACGACTAAGAACATGTCCCCAAAAAGTGCATCGCTAACCACTACATGACCCAGCACACACAGAATGTATGGCGGCAGTAATTAGACCCGAATACGAGAAGGAGATACTGGCAAATCTTAACACCTTTAGGGTGTTACTCCCTGCCCTTCAAAAATGTCATGAAAATCTGCTGTGTTCATGGTGACTGGGCATCACACACATAAGCTTGAACTGCTTGCTTCTGCAGTGAGAGATAGGAAAGTCTGCAGATAAATGGAAGAAATAAGAGTTTGCTGGTTTCTTTTTGTTTTTAAAGGAATATATTGGACGGCCAGAAAGGAAGAGTAAGTTCACTTTACTTGGAGAAATGGGGGACAGTTGAATTTTAAGGGCGAATTGGAGGACAAGAGAGAAATAAGAGTAATTGACTTACTCTATAATGAGACCACTCATAGCAAAAAGTAGAGAAAAGGATTGAAAGTAAGTGAAATGTGCTTTCTAAGAGCCAAAGATGAGCGCTCAATACGGGAGTATGCAAGGAACAGCTGCTTCCTGTCAGGGCATCGTGGACGCCCTACTACGTGTCCCACACGCCACGCTGGGAGCTTCATACTACGCTAGCTGGACAGAAAGGTTCACTAGGAGCTAGAATAGACAGCGTTATGACCATCACCACACATATACTTGGACCCTAGTTAAGATGAAGCAATGTGGTTACAAAATGGCGTGAAATTTTAAACCTGAGGGAGGAGAATGACACTTCTGTTCTATAGAATCCCAATGCAGAGTGAAAATGAGTGGCAACAGATGAGAAAAAAAAAACTCTCAATAGCAAGTTCTACAAACTAATGGACCCTTAAACCCCACAAAGTTATAACTTGAAAAAAGGAGCACAGATTTCATAATAGCAGCTTAGTCCCAAATGAGAAAACAGCAAGAACTTTTACATGAAAAGCCTAAACAGTCGCCCTCAACACATAAATCACTACATTTTCAAGGAAGAAAAGTACAGTCTAGTCTTACCTTATTGCTGCAAAAGGCTGGAATAGAAATTACTGACTCATAGAAGCAACTTTCACATGTATCTGAACATCAAACACAACACACAATATAAAATCAAAAATAACTAGAACAGAAAAGTTTTCAGTCTGACCTTAAAAATACTGAGCAAATCACTAGATGAAGCCAGATCAAAAGGAAGGGCATTACACCAGCTTGTAGCCATATGTGGAAGGGCCCCAACCGCATAGGGCACAGATGGTATACAATGGCGGGGCGGGGGGGGCACAAGCAGATCCAAAACATAAGGCAAATAAACCTGCTTCGGCTTACACACAGGTAAGACAGTTTGAAAGAATGAATCATTTTGAACGCAACTGATAAGATTTTAAATTTGGGATAACTGGTGCTAGATGTCCCAAGCTAAAGTGTGCTCACCAGTTTAAGCTCTGAAATCCTTTGTGTAGTAATTTAAATGAAACTAAAATCTCAGGGAGGATACTCACAAGGGGATGGTAACTTGTTATTAAATGATAACTGAGTAGTTAAAACTTAAAAAAAACACACACACACACTGTGGTTGCGAGCCATGTTACCTGATTAATGTCTGAGAAATGGGGGGGGGTGCGGATTTAATGCATACTCACAAAATTAATAGCTCTATTTGAAAACAGAAACCCTACAAGTTTTATTAAAATGTTCAAAGTCCCCATTCATCATATAAGGTAAAGTGCTAAAATTAAAAATTTCACCTCTTTAAACTTTCTTAGGTAAAAAGACAAAACGTACCATTGATTTTCTACAGAAAACTCAGAAACGCTCACATTTACTTAATGCTTGTTTCTCTAAATACAAAGTTGGCAGTTTTATAAATCTCAAACACTTGTTCCAAAATAAAAGTTTCAGGAAAATTCTCCCACTTCAACATCAGGAGTTGAGATTTTCACAAAGAAATCTTACATTTCATTAAATGAGTTGATAGCTTTTTTAGGCAGCAACCCAAACATTTAACACAGATTTCTTCAACCTCATGATTTCTGAAGGACACAAAAGCATAGAATATCCAAAAGGCTATTGCATTGGATATTCTAATTAGTACGTTCAACACACACATATACAATGGGACTCTAAATTTTAGCAGCAACGATGGACAAAAAAATATTGACTTCACGATGACTTTTGATTATCATTCACATGGTTTTAGGGAATACTTACTTGATTTTTTTGATACTTCTTTGTATTAAAGAATCCCTCCACTTTATAGTAATGGCTTTGCTAAGCTACGTCTAGGAGTGACAATTTTAGTGGAAATTCATTCCCAGTCTACTTTGATAGTCATTTGAACAGTTTTGCGTTATTTTACATGCAATTTTATAGCTCTATAATGTTCATTTAATCTTGTTCAATGATGCTGAACCCCAGATGCCATAAGATATTATAGAAAAGTAGTTACTGCCCCTATGGAGTAACTACTTTCTCTGAACATTAATTTCTTTTCTCTTAACTCGCTGAAATGGTATTTAGAAAAGAGAAAAGCCGCCCCTCTGTATTAAAGGTTTTATATCATGGACTTTCAGAGATGGGCTACTTATTACCGCTGTGGTCCTAGCCATAAAGTTCTTATTTACGAGCATCATCTTCTCAAGTCTTAGTGATAATGGTTTTCTCCAGCCTTCCTAGGGTTGTTGGTATTATAATTCCAGTCAGGTCACCTGAGAGCTTGGGGGGTGGGAGGCTCTCCTCACTTGTCATAGGCAGGGGTTGGTATGAACAGTGGTTCTAAAAATGAGGTCTGAGGGCCATCCACATTAGAATCACTGGGGCTCTTGCTAAAAAAAGCAGATATCTAGGCCTCCCAGACCTGGTGAATCAGAACCTCTAGGGTCGGGGCTGACAAATGTTCATTCTGAGTAAGCACCACGATGATTCTTCTGCATGCTACGGGGTGAGAAGCACTGGTAGATGATCTCGAAGGTCCCTTCCACTCTAAAATTCAAAGACTTGGTGAGTTTTCTTTTAGAGATGGAGTAGTGTCAGCAAGATGAGACTATCTCTACAACACAAGATGGTGACTTTTCGGCCTGAACGCGCTAGCCTAAGTAAGAAGTGCTCACAGATTTGGATGTATATGTAAAAACAGAAAACAGAAACAGAACAGCATAATCAGGCGTGTAAAGAACCTATTTGAGCTTTCTTCCTTGGGACAGGATGAGTGGGAGAACCCACTCTAATTGCTACACAGAAGCGTGGGTTCAAAGGGCTCTTCACCGCGGCCCCATTCCCACCTTTTCCCTTTCCACCTTCCGACCCCTCTCAGTTGTCGAGGCCATTACCCAGGCTCTTACAATCCCGAGTTGCCAAACTCTTACATAATCTTTAATTGGTCTGCATATATCCTTTTAAGAAATAAACTACCTACAGGCAGTCCTCTACTCTCAGTTGTTAGGGAAATCACACAGAAAACATGCAGCCTAGGAAAGGTGAAGAGCAGACTTACAATTTTAAAAGGGAGTTCCATATTTAGAAAGCCCTTAAAAACCCCAAAACAAACCATAATTTTACTTCTCCCTTCGGGCACAATACTGGATGAAATATTTCTGGTATTTCCTATATGTTAGTTTATTTCGTTCTTTCTCTTCATAACTGCTTCGAGGCTCACGGAGAGCCTAAGATTTGAGATTTTTAAAGCACATCCAGAAAGTTCTATCTTTCACCCGTTTTTATTAGGTATAGGAGAGCTAAACTTCTTTGGTGGTATCTAACCACATTTTTATAAAACCAGAAGAGCAAAATGCACTCGAATCTTAACATAAGTACACAAACATAGCTGGATAAATGATGCCGCTGAGTCAGACTGGTTGGCTGGAAGGCAGCGCCACCATGTGATCGCTCCAAATGTTGTCACTTTTGTTCAAGTACAAAAGATGGGACCTTCTAGGAGCTGGGCTTCTCAAAGCAAAGGCCCACCTCCTGTCCCAATAAGGTTATTTTCAAACACCAAACTGGAGCATCGCTTTAGTTGCTGAGAGTCAGAGGGAGAAAATGAAAATGAGAGGATACCTGATCACGTACGGGCATATCAGTGGCCAGACAGGGTCAGGTATGTAGTGCTCAAGTGGGGTGAGCTCTTTGGGGGCTAGGTTGACAGACTTTTGATTGTTCTCAGTTCGAGGAACCTGGACTGGATATGTAGCCTGCTGTCTCTGATGCCCAGCTCTGTCGCTTGCTACCCCATGTCCTTTCACGAGGGACAGGTTTGGTCAAGGCTCTGCTAGTACCCGGCAGGTGTGTCTACTACTCAATGATACCCAAAGTTTCGTTCATCTGTAAGGTCTTGGAACTGTGTGTATGTATAGGCATGAGCTGAAGTCAAGAAGAGTGTTGAGAAGGAGTCGAGTTAAACTATTTAAAGTTTTATCAGAGTTGTGTTTTTCCTTTTGCGTTTTCTTGCTGTCAATTTTACCATAAATTTAATAGCCACATTATATCAAATGTACATGTTCACTGTAAACTATCCCCTCGTTTCAGAAATGTGGAAAAGCCGGGCGGGAAATCTTTAAGTGCAGTAAGTCAACACTCCCGGGATGTGCATGCAGAAGAAAAGTGAATACAGAGACAAGTTACTTTCAGTGGGTATTATCTGTCCTTATGAAACGGGTGTAACTTCCCCAGTGTAAGCAAGCCATTGTGATCTAACAACATAGTATGGGGCAATGGGAGGAGAAAATACATACTGGTTTCCATCAGAGACCCTTGCTCTGCATCCAGACCTAAGGAAGGACAAAAGCGAGCAAGTCAGCGCTGTGACTTCCATACGGCTCTCTGTAGAGAGGACAGGCTGCACCTGCAAGGTCCGGACTGAAAAATCAGGATCTTCCTGCAAGTTGCCACCAACCACCCCCACCCTACGCCCCCAAGCATGGGTACACTGCCCTAAACAAAAGTCACATGCCCCACAAGATATTTCCTTGTATCTCAAAAGAGTATTAGCTTCTTTAATCCAAGAAGGTAATGAGAGGTTTTTAGACTGATTAAATCAGATTAGTTCATACAAAGTCTATTAGGAACTAAATATTCAATTAAAACAATTTCCAAAGCAAAATCTGACAAAATCCACTCTTAAAGTAATTTAGATAATAGGTTCTTAACATTTGGCAAATTAAATCCTTCTCACGGTTGGTATTTTCTGCCGGGTCAGAAAAGGTGCAGAAGTTCTCTGGGACAAAAATCTACTTTGTGCGTTAAGCCATGTGCCACGATCATCAACAACAGAAACTCGAGAACACTAATGTGAGCCTAGCATTCCTATTTATTTTTTTTCTTCAAAGGCTACATACATGCAGAAGCTGAACATGTCATCACAATGCTTTAAATAAAGTTCAAAAAAAAAATAAAAATACTTCAAATCCATTTAATTGTGGAAATATATATGACAATTAAAATGAAGATAGGCAAATCCTCCTTTTTTCCCTAGTCTATCAGAAAAATATATTATAAAAAAGAATTTAACTTCATGGTCAGAATAATTTTTTAAAAAATTCTTGATGAATAACTTAAAAATAAGTTGGATGTTAGTACAATGTTTAGAGAAGCAAGTTCCAGGCTTTTGAAAAAGGGGTCTGATATCCTTATACCTCATTCTGAAATCACTGAAGAAATTCAGTTTAGAAACAAAGGAGTTTTTTAAAACTACGATCATTGAGGTTATGGTTGATGTGGTTAGTAATGCAAGTGAAGGGCACAACTTTTATAAATAGATATCGTTGAAGGTCCTTTAAAATGTTTGAATGGAGAATTTTATTTACAAACACAGGCTGGAGGCTTCAAGTGGCCCTACCTCTCTCTGCTGGTCAATACTGCAAGAGGGATTAAAAATCCTGGGTACAACGAAGTTCTGAGCACTGGGCCCCTTTTGTGAAATGTGTAAGCGTGCACTAGCTCCCTGGACTCAGAAAAAGCTAGCAGGAGGAAGTGTCTTCAAAAGGCCCTTGCCTTTTTCAGGTAAAAGCAGTAGGGAGGCTTGGCAGAGTTGAGAGAGGGAAATTGGCACATTTTTGAAAGAGTCTCAGTGTTCCAGAGGGTGGCCATTTCCTTCTACTAAAACTGGTATTTCTTTGGTAACATAATACAATATATATCAACAATTTCAAAAATTAATATCAAGAGAATGCACTCAACATTCCACTTTGCCAATGTTCACATTCATCCTGGAAATGAGATTTACTTTGCTGCTCCTAAACGAAAAAGGCAGGGGAGAGCTGCCCAGGGAGGAGGACTATCAATTACTGGAAATGACATACAATGTGAGCAGGAAAAAGGGATAATCTAACAAAGTGTGTTCGAATGGATTTGGAAAGCCCTAAGTGGGCACACACACCCAAAATTCAGAAGCAGCTTTAATGCAAACAATTAAAATATCACCACCTCTTCAAATCAGAAATACAAGGTCTCCTACCAGGAGAAATCCATTGCTACCACTCTATGCCTATCCTTTGAGAAGGCCAAATTGAAATTCTGGTTAGAAATACTTCCACAGAGGGTGTGAAGGCCTAGAGTTGATTTATATCCTGAAACACTCAACTGTGATTATAGTTTTCATGTTCGGCAACCCAACTATTATTTTCCTTTTATTGCAAAAAAAAAAAAAAAGTTTAAAAAGGAAAAATAAGAGATGTGTGTCCTGTCAGTGCAAAATCAGATTAAGTATGGTTTTTCTTTTCCCTGGGACAGAAAAAAACAATGCCCAGTGCACAGTGTGAAGGAATGTGTCACAACAAATAATCAAGACAGGTTTCACCAAGCTAGTATTCCTCCAAGTACAGTGTGGTTTTCAAAAGCAGTATTGTCACGATTAGGCATATTCTCATTAACTAGGTACAGCAGAGCTACTTAAAGGGAAACCGATTTCTTGTGCCTCAATGAAAGGGGAGTGTAGAAAACAATAATTAGACTGAATAAGGAAATTTAAAAGGACAAAAAAAAAAAAAACCCAACCCAGAGTGAAAAGAACAGAGAATTTAGAAGGCAAAAAAAAAAAAAAGCAAGTAATGTGACGGTAGAAACCCACACAGTCCCCCCCACCCCACCTGCCACTTTGAGCCCTAATTGCCCCATCTGCAAGGACAGAAACCCACTCTAAATGGACCAGCATCGGGCTTCGGCAAGTCTTCTCTTCACTCTCCCTCCTGTTAAGACCGTTTCCAAAACCAATCAGCAAAGGACAAAGAATTCTTTACAGAGTGTGCAATTAGTGTTTTCCACGTCCACCTTCAAAAGCATGATGCTCTTCATGGGCTAAAGGACAGAAAAAAACAAAAAAGAAAAAAAGGAAAGAAAACTTTAAGCAAAGGATGGGGCAACCCTTCTCTAAGGCATCTCATTCAGTTTCCCCAAAGGCTGGCAAGAATGCAAATACCTTTTTGTGCCAGTAACTGTTAGCTAAGGCGTGCATTTCCTGAGAAACGTAATCATGAAAATTAAAACAAGGAATAAACAAGCAATGGGCATGCTGCCTGTTTCTGCTTGCTGTGCCGAGAGGGTGAGTAATCCCCGCAAGCTGATGAAGAGAATATGTGGGGCCTCCAATGCTATGGGGGTGGGGGGGTGGGGGGAATGTGCCCCATGGGATGCATGGGGTGGGGGAACCCAATGTCACCCACACCAGGGCCATGCACGGACCTATCTTTAGAAATAAAACAAAACAAAATCAAAGCAAAGCAAAGAACAACACAAGGGGGTAAGCAATCCTATCACATCCCCCCAACCTCTGAGCACCCTCTGTGGGAAATGAAATTTCATAAAACGGATGGGTCTTTTATTTTTTTCCAATCATGTTTTTAATTTTTTTTTCCAGTCCTATTGTCTGGCTTGCAAAATCACTAATTACAGTTAGGGACCCTAGAGTAAAAAGCTGCACTATCAAAAATATTTTTCAAAGACTTAAAATGTTATAAAGTAGAAGTGGGAAACGAGACATTCGTAACAGATATACCATTTTCTCCAAGGCAAAAAAGGCCAAGTGTGAAAGTCCACTTCCTGGAATCTGACTAACCATCACCATGAAGCAAGGGCAGATCCTCTTCTCTCGAGGGGAAAAGTCCCTGCAGCTTGGGTCTGATAAAGCTGAAGGCAACTCAGAATTCTCTGTGCTTTGTCTCCCTACATCCTCCCGCTATGGGCAGTGAATGGACGTCCTGGGAAGGCATGGATGGGCTGGCCCATTTCACCTGTCAAGCCCCTTCCATTTCTCTGTTTTTAATATAGACTAAATTCTTCAGACTAGTATCTGAAGGGGTGAAGCGGTGGGCAAAGGGACTATTTTCTCTTCAGGATCATCCTGGATGTTTGCCCCAACCTGTTCTTCACTTGGCTAAAACCCTGGCAGAAGCATACCTACAGCTCGCAGGGTTACCGTGGGTTGGCCAAATTCCTAAGGAGAGCCTACAATCCCAAATGATTTAACTGAGTGCTTCTCGCATGTACAACTTTACAAATATTTCACTTTTTTTTTTCCCTTTAGAACAGATTTTTAGGGCTGGTACCGAAGCAAATATGGTCTGTTCTGCAGTAAAATATACAGTGCTGCGGGGTCAAGTGGAGGAAGCCCAGACCTCTTAGCGACGCCGGGCTCCAAGTGATAAATCGAGAGATATGGGCTGTCCGGAGATTTTTATGACTCTGAGTGCGAGGGACAGTCTGTGGTGGTCATGGCTGAGATACTGAAGTCCTGTCACTGTGATGGGCTATGAAGCTAGCAGAATAGAACATTCAGAACTGGGGGAGTTCTGTGAGACAGAAGTTCTTTTTCAGCCTTGGGTGAGCCTTGGTGGAAAGAGAAGATAGAATTCTCGAAACCAGGAGTCAAGAGAACTTGCTCCGGAAAGGGGCAGAGAATAAATATTTTACGCTTTGCAGGCCACATGGTCTCTGTCCCAACGATGAACTGTGCCACCGTTAGAACTAAAGCAGCCATTCACAGTATGTGCACAAACGGGCACCGCTAGGTGCCAATACACTTTATCTATATATGGACACGGAAATTTGAATTTCATACAATTTTCATGTGCTACAAAATGTCGTTCTTCCCTTGATTTTTTCCAACCATTTAAAGATGTGAAAACCATTCTTAGCTGCAGCCCCTACCAAAGAAGGCAAGGAGGGGGCAGATTTGGCAAAAGGTTCATAGTGCGCCAACCTCCGCTCTAAATAATTCTCACATCAGAAAAGATGCCATTCAGCTGCTCTGAAGAACGTAACAGAATGGGTGTGGGGGGAAGGGTAGCACTGGGGTGGAGGGAAGGGTCTCTGTACACTGTGAGTGTCTCCATCAAATAATTAATCTATATCCAAATCCTGTATAACTTAACAACAGCCCACTCCTCATCTCCCCTGCTGGAGGCCTTGACCGAATACGCTTGGGCTCTTTCTACATAGAAAATCTGCCATGTCACCTGGTTTCTGTATACTTGTGAATACTTACACCAGGATCCTATTAACAAGACAGAATAAAAGCATGGAGTTGGCCATTCCTAACTTAGCTCACCCTACGACTTCTTCATCACGCTGTGATGAAGATTTCTGCCCAAACCTCATTTTTCCAAATCAATTCTGCAGCACGTGGTGTATAATAATCCTACTGAGTAAAGGACTGCCTGCTTTATATAAAATAAAGAGAATTGCTTGTTTTTTCCAATTCAAATTTTTATCTGAATAATCTTTGAGTCTTTAAATGTTAATTTATGCCATTAAAATATGGATTTCTATGGAGACCCTAGCCAGTTCTGCGTTACTCACAAACTTCACAATGGCATCTATCTTTAGGTCATCTATTCAGCTTGATTCAACTGGCCAGGTTGCCACTTCTCCCGCTTATTTGGCTTCCCTTCCCCCTCCCCCCAAGCCATCACAACAACTAAGCAGTGACTCATCCTTGTTCAGTCTTACCTGAGTATTACCCACTGCCCTAACAACTAGGCTAACCACTGTGAGGCTTAATTTTCTAGTGAAATACTCCTATCATCTTGGACCTGCTGCTAACAGTGTTACTTGGAAATTTAATCAGAGAATTTTGAAGTAGAAGGAACCTTGGAGATCATTTAAGACCAACCTCCTCAATAATTTGATGAGCAAGTAAAAGGACGAGAAGGTGTGACCTGCTCGAGGTCACACAGTTGAAGGGGAACAAAAATTCAGAGTGCCTGACTTGATTCCAAATTGCTTCTCTCCTCTTTTGAGTCAAATGTGGGGCTGGTTCAAAGGTGGTAAAGAATGCTGTAGCCCCATTCATAAATGGCCCTGAAATACACTTCCCTCCAGAGAGTTAGTCTTGTGAAGTAGAAAAACAAGAAAAGATCCTTGGTGACCTTTCAATTAATATCTGGGTTGAAAATACAATTAATGTTCCCCAAGGACTAAAAATTGCATCTACAAATGTGCCATTTCCACACTGCATAGCCAAGAATCAACTTCTGCAGGACCATCTTTCTGTCTCTTTTATTTAAACTTTCATTTAAAATTCAGAAGCTAAGCACTTGCTGAATATCTGCAGCAACGTATCAGTCTTGTTGCTTAAAATCTAAATCATTTGGCCTGTGATTTTATGATTCCTTCAAGGGAGGCCTTTGTTTTAATAACCTCTATCATACCAAGACAATCCCATAAGAACATTTTTTTTTTTCTCCTTTTTGGCAAGGGGTTGGGAAAAGTGAAACAATAATGGAGTGTATTTCAACAAGACTAAGATGCACTCCCCAGCCCACATCGGAAGACCCCTGGATTCAATAATACAATATAGTTTAATTGGGAACCTTTTATTTTTCTTTCTCAGTAATTGTAAAATAATACTTATCATCAAAGGCATCTTAGAGTCAATGAAATGCCACACAGTTAAAAAAAAAAAAAAACTGGGTTATTGACTCTTGGAATGGTTTGGAAAACAGGAATTTATCAGATGTATATGTAGGACTGTCAATACTTTTCTTGAACTCACTGTTAAAAGTGTAACCTGCAGTTTGATCTACCAAACATTCGTTTAATAGCACTAAGCTGTTTTCATTATGAAAAAGATGACTTTTTCAAAAGAGCACACAAAAGCAATGAACATGAATCATGATGGAAACAATGGGTCCACACACCTATTCATACTGTTAACATTTCACCACTGTGCGTGAATTCTCTTTCGTTCTGTGTCATGGCCTTCTGTAATGAAGAAATATTAGCATTTCAGTAGAACATTCAATCACCCCTGCTCTCAGAACAAGAGGTTCTCCACAAATACAGATGTTATACATTATAAATTCCTGTTTATGAAGGGATGATTGAATATCTACCTGCCAGCTCATATAATAACATTTTTGTTATTGTTGCTTCAAATAGAAGGTAATTTTTTTCTGAGAATGACAAATTTAAGATCAGGTTTAAATTTCTGAAATAACAAATACAATACGTATCACCTTTTCTGATCCATGTGTTTAGGTGACAATAAAAACGCATTTTAATTTCTTGAGACTGAACTTTTTTTTTTTAACACGTATATTTTATTGCATTATTTTCTGGATTATAGAATTTTGAGTGATTCTGCCTTCACCTCATTTGCAACATAGTCTCTGTCTTTAAAAGTAATGACAGAATAAGCTAGAAAGTAATAACTGAAAATAAAGCACTTACGTTTATAAAATACTGCTTTAAAAGATATGTGGGGCAGAAGTTCATAGATCTTTTCTAACACGGTCGCTTCACCCACTAAAGAGGCGTTTACATTCCAGACTTGGACGACATCTTCCCGGTCCCGAACGCTGACACTGACTCCTATTACTTCATCATCTGAGGGGAAGGCGGGGAAGAAAGAAATAAGTGATAATTCCAAGTCTGTCTGTACTGTTTTTTTAAGCCCTATCATCTTAGCTACAAGTTATGGATAAGATAATAAGAAGGTGGCACAAGAGAACACATAATAAACACTGTTTCTAAGGGGAACCGCTGGACAAAGAGCAAGTTAGTGGACAAAAGCTGCAACAGGTACATCACATTTATCCAGGGACTTAGATAAACATCATGTTCCAGGCAAACGAATTTTCCAGATAAGTAATTTATCCTTTTTTAACATGTTACCAAAGCTTTTTGACTTATTTCTTAGTCTGTTTTGATGAGACTTTTTCTAAAATGGGTTGCATAATGCTCTGTCCTCTGAAAGCCAAGTGAACTCAAATGAACTTTTCCTCGATGCTTGACTGTCTTTGTTAAGAACAGCAAGTATTTCTCCTGACTTCCTGCCAAATGTTCAGAGATCGTGGGGTGGTTAGTGCTATTTGCCCCAATACTAACTGGACCCAGACTGTGTGTTCCAAGCTGCTCATTCCATTTTTGTGTGGTTTGCTTGTCTGCTCCTTCCCTTTTCATTCTTTCTGCCCTCCAGTGCTTCTTTCTGGCCATTCCCCTTCAGGTTTTGGCATTTTTGAACTTTGGCCTAGAGGACCAATGACCATCTGTCAGCACTGTATATAAAGGGAGAGTAAATATCTTCTGAGTATGACTCTGCTATTCTAGTACTTCTGTGAATGTACATTAAAGCATTCATCAATACTGATTTAATGTAGGTCTTTCCTCTATTTTTAACTAAATTCTGGGTTGGGGGCCACTCTGCAGGTATCTGAGAATGGTGGCTAGATAAGGAAGGCTCTGTACCAACATATGCTTCCTTGCACCCACTTTGTGTCTGTTAATTTGTGGCAAAATGACAGGAATAAAGGGTTTTGACTCCCCGTTTATGTGCTCATGCCATACCAATGAAACAGGGTTGGCTCTCTGTACTTACATGCGCAGCATCTATAAGTAAAATGTGAAAGATGAGCATTATCAAAGTTAGGAAATTTTGCTTTAGTTAATATGCTTTGTCTAATTTGGCCAATTTGCTCTAAATCTGTGCATCTAAATATTTATACCATCAATTTTTCCAATTGTCTTCTGGGGGTTAAAACATTCTAGTATTCTGATACAATTGAAAAGAGGGCATGTCTAATTTACTAAAGGAATTCATCTTTAGTAAAATAATTCCTTTGTTTCCTCCTTCCTTCCCTCTCCTCCTTCATTCCCTCCCTCCTTCCCTCCCTTCTTTCCTTCTAAATGTGTATGACTTGACACTAAATGATGCCATTTATATCAGTGTTTGAAAACAGGCAAAATCAGCTTATGGTATCAGAAGCCAGATTGGTGACCACCTTTGGAGGAAGGGAGGGCAAGGAGGGATTCTGGGAGGTGAGTAATGTTCTGCTTGCTCCCTGATCTGGATGCAGTTATGGGGACGTGTTGACTTTGTGACTATTTATCAAGCTGTACACATTATAATTTGTGTACTTGTCGGTACATATGTCACATTTAAATCAAAATTTCTAAAAATTAAATAGGACCTGATCCCGGCCATCTCTTAGCCAAGAGAAACATGGTTGTGTCAACAATTTTGTTTTAGTTCAGGTTTCTTATTTTTGAATTTACGCCTTCAACGGACACTTGCTCGAGCTCACTACCAGAAGTGCTATGTGAACGGAAAATCTGCGAGTGAAGAGGGAAGCCCCACGCATGCCATTCTCATTACCCTTTTCAAGAATGGCCATGAAGACACTAGATCGGCCTTTCAGGGAAACAGCGGCATTCTCTGGTCTTTGGGGATGGCCCATTTCTACACTCTTGGCCAGAGGGTTGTAACTGATGGCTGCTGGATCTGCTGAGCCATCAGCATTTCAGTTTGGCTTGGCTTTTGGTAACTAGGCGGCTCCGACTAGCATAGCACTTTCAGAAGCGGCATGGTCAAAGGCTGCAACTCTTATGCAAAGGCAGATCCGTCAGCAATCATGTAATATTCATAAGTAGAATCGACCAGCAAAACCCTAATTATTTTAGGGTGCTGGCAGCATAAGAGCTAGGAGGAGCCACTGTTTAAAGATGGGGGAAGCGAGGCCCAGAGAGACTCGCTAACTTGCTTCAGGTGGTAGAGTGGGGGTAGTGTAAGAGCTAATGCTTAACAGACAGTGAATGGTGCACCAGTTTCCTAAGTCAACCACGGAATAACAGGCCTTCTTTACTCAATCCTGCCTGTTTATTATTACTTAGACTATTTTCCTGGGTTCTGGAAACAGGAATAATTCGCACAGGAAACCTCCTCTCCCAGGGATTAATGTGTTTATAATTATACCTAGGACGCATTTTTGGCTCCATACTGTGAAGTTGCTAACTATTCGCTGTTAAAACAGAAGGAATCTGTACTTTTAAGACAATTTGATCTTCACCCGGGTTTTGTCTTAAGGGAATGAAAGCTGGTGTAATAAGGAAGCAATACAAAAGGAGAATTATAGAAACTGCTAGTAGGTGAATTTGAAGCTTGCCATGGCAGTGACTCAGCCTAGGGGGGCCCCCCCCAAAGATAGTACCATTTAAGACATCTGGGGACTAATTAATCAGTACTAATTACTTAAGAAAAAATTCTTTAACTGAAAGCTGAACAGGTAAAGTAGTATTCTAAATGCTACCTCAGAAGCCTTCTGAAGGAACTAGCCAAGAAGAAAACAAATCGTTAAACAAGCAATTCAATTCTTCTCCTCTTTGAGTGGTTTCATGATAAAAACAAAGCAAAATAAAAATGGACTTATGGAGGCTCTGAGAAATTCACTAAGTATCTGAAAATGCCTGAGGACCTTCTATTTGAGCTTCAGGTGTGGGGTTACAAGTCCCAATGGTGAACCTCTGTAAGTCTCTTTGAGCAGGGGCCCAAGAGCAGGACAGGAGGGAGGGACAAAAACCAGGGGATACAGAAGGGACTGTGCTGGCCTAACTCCACACTCCACGAGACACCACTCACCCCTGGGGAAGAACTGGAAGGAGCAACCTACCCCAAATTGTATTAAGAACAAACCGATACCAAATTTTCTTTTTTCTTTTTGCCTATTGATTTTGGACAGATGTTTGTGGACACTATTAAGATGAGCTACGTGGGGAAAAATATATGCACATATACATATGTACATACATATAACACACACATAAATATGTACATGTACATACACATATGACATGAAATGCCACGATAACATGAAAAAAACCTTTAAGTTCAGAGTTACGGAGTAAAGAACTTCGAAACGTGTTAAAAGTCAAACACATGGAAACAAATGCTTCCAAGTGACAAGCACAAGCCAAGCACACACGAGCAGGTGACCGACGGCGTGAGCTTCTTTACCTGCAGCGGCACAGTCTGTGAACTGTTCCCCGATTGTCGCTAACAACAACTCTTTCCAAACTGTGGACTGGCATGGGAAAAGAATAAAAAACAGCAAACAAAACCAAAACCAAACCAAACAAAAACAAAACAAAAAAAAAAACAAAAAAACAAAAACCAATAACAACACATATATTTTTAGACAAGTATCTTGAGGAGCTAAACAAGTCACATTTTCTTCTGCTTCACATGCACTGTGTTCATGCCCATTATTTGGAGCCCGCAGACATCCCCAGATCACGGGTGTCAACACTCACAATAGTGGCATATACTGTATTATTTTACAAGTAACTTTACACAGATAGATAGGAGGGATCCAAAGTCACAAACTTTGCATCCATAAAACTTTGTGTCCAAAGCTACAAAGTCAATCTCTAGTGAAACCCTGATGAAGTTCAAAAGAATGGGGTGGGTGGGTGGGCGATGCTTTCAAATGATTTATAATGTTCCAGTGCCTTTAGCTTTCACTGATTCAAAATGTGTCGACTGCTTATAGTTGAATGCTATTAGTAAAATCCTTCTCTCCAATACCCTCCCTGCCCTCTGTTTTTCTTGCAGTTTATGAGATACTTAAAAAGTTACCACAGGGATGAGCTCTGAAGGAAATTTCTGGTTTAGTGAATATGAGAGACTTGCAAATTTCCATCCACTGGAGCCAGACTGTTTACGTCAAGGGGCAGAACTTGATGTGTGTATGCATGCATCTCTCCGGAAGAATCAGTTCGTGTTCCCATCCACCTCCTGCAAGTGAGAAACCTGGAGGCCCTTCTACCCAAGATCTACTCAGGCCACCCAATCAGCAGCCAGCATGCGCTCACGGGTAGCTGGAGGCCTGAAAGTTCTTCCAGTTATCCCCCCTCAAAAAGTTCTTGGTCCCATTTACCTTCCTTGCCAGAGTTTACAGGCCCTAAACTCTTCCAGAACTGGATTTGAATCCTGCCAGGTTGCTTAGTCTGTGAGTGCGCAGGTTATCAACCCCTGGCAACATCAGTTTCCTTAGGCAAGCAGGGAATAACAACGGGCTGAACTCCCAAGGGTTGTTGTGACCATGAAATTAGTCAACAAATGCATTCAAAGGGCTTAGCATTGTGACTGTAGTAAAAAAAAAGCTAAGAGATAAGATCGGTTCCATAAATAGCTGCCATGTTTGCTCCATGCCCAGGTGCTCACTACATATTAACTATTAATAATAGTGTTTCTTACTACGTTCTAATAAACTGAAAGCAGCCTAGCTGAGTTTTTAACCAAGACGATAGCAGTTAAGCACCGTGAGCTTTCACTCACAGGGAGGATTTTATTTGCCCTTTTCTAGAGGCCCCCTTTGGCTCTGCTGGTCTCCCTTCTGGAAATCATCCTCTGTTCTCTATGTCCCAACTGCGGCGTCTTACACCGTTCATGATGAAGCTGAGGGTGTTGCAAGGAAGTTAGGGCAAAGGGGAAGTTCCCTCCCATGTTGTGACGTCAAACAAGGTTGGCCCACCAGGCTCCCAACTGACAGTGAGTGAAGAGGACACTTCACTTGTACAGACACGAACGTGCTATTATCTGTGACTGCAGATGGCCAAGAAGAGAAAGGGGCAAATGCGCCCGTCAGCTACTGTTCACCACGCGCTGACAGCACCGTTCTTTCTACCAGAACTCAAAGTTTGGTGTGAGTCAATAAAGCACATGAAAAGGAAACCGTGCTCTCCCTGAATTTAAAAATAACCTATGTTCTCTCCTTTTAAAGGTGGGGGGCAGGAGGAGCTTTGCAGGCCTTGCCTGGTTGTTGGCTCCCCTGACATTTTTTATGAAAGCCAAATAACAGGCAAATCCTGGAGCTATGCATCTTGATGGTAGTCTGCATCATTAACAAATAAATGTGGCCACATCTTTAGGTTTGTGCTTACAGGGAAATGACTCAAACCTATGGGTCTCTGGAGACATTGTAATTCTTTGAGCTTATCCACATGAAAGAAACCATGAAAAGGTGACACGGGTAGCTTCTGCCCTTTCATCCATTTTCAAAGAAGTGCTTTGGTTTCCCAAAGCTTAAGAATGGGTTCAAATGTTCACTTTTAGTCAGCATGATGAATTTGAGCCTATTCTAGAAAAATCTCGGTTTCTGAGGCTTGGCCACTAGAAACCAGTTGTCTCAGCAGGCCATCCTACCAACCGGGCTCTTGTCAGTCCCGCAGGGAGGCTGGGCACAGCCTTACATGAAACCCTCCCCAAATGGTAAGATGCATGGGCTCCCAAGCATCCCCTGTCTCCGCACCAAGTTCAGTGGAGGAAGGACAAGCCTTTGGTGGGCAGGAATCTGCTTCTCACTATGTATACCAACTTCCACATGTTGGTCATGGCTGGTGAGGAAATGACTGCCATCATCAGCCTTTCTGTAAAGTTCAGCAGTGCGCAGCTCCTCAGAATTTAGGATACAGTCCCACAGCCGCATCATTTCTATAGAGAAACACGATACTACATTTTCAAGGTGACACTGTGGGGCAGAAAATCGCGAAGGTCAGAACAGAGTTTCTCACCCCCAGTCCTGTTCCGAGATGACCAAGTGGACTGCCTAAGAAGCACAAGAGGCTCACCATATGCCGTCAACAACAACCCCAACCGTAGCCAGTCCTGGAAGAGGATCAGAACAAACGTACCGTGCTGTCCTTGGGGACTTTCATCTTCCATACGCCACCCTTCGCATTGCTCTCCTCTTCCCTGGATCAGAGACCGGGGTTTAAAATTACACTCAAGGATTAAATGAGTCTATATGTGTTTAGTTTAACCACAGATGACATTAAAAACAACAACTGGAGCATTCTTCAATAAACTCTCCCTCAGCCCTTTTACTGGAAAAGCAGAGGAAAGAAAAAGAAAGGGGGTGTGGACGGGGAAGGAAGGAAGTGGGATTCAGTGACCACAAGGGCAGGGGTGGCAAGGGGCGCCAGCTTCTCACCCTGAAGGAGGCGGCGGTGAGAGGTTCCCTACACTACCAGGGATGGACAAATTAATACAAGTACTTTACACGGGTGAAGGCCTTTATGTTTCAGTACCACATTCATGGCATGGCCTCGTCTGATTCTCCTATCGACCTTGCACTATATGCTTAATAGGAGACTCGGCCCCTGTGGTGGGCATCTGCCATGTTTTCCTGTTTAGTATCTGCTTGCTCATCTGGTAAAAGTACCCTAATTTCCCTGTAAGGAGCTCCTTGTCTCCTACTCGTATGTCAGACCCATTCCAATAGGGTTGATTCCTCATCCTAGCCTCAAAGATGGGCTCATGACCCAGGTGTGCCAATGAAAATACTGCCTCTTTCTAGTCCTTGTGATTGGCCAGAGATGTAAAGGACCCACAGTAGGCCACTGACAGCCAGCCTTAGCATCTTATGGGGTCTGGTGAAGGCTGAGATTGATACATTTGTAGGGTGTTAAGACTGCAGCTCCTGAGAGCCATTCTGCCACCACGAATGGAGAGCCTGTCTGAGAAATTACACCAACTCAGAGGAAAGCAAAGCGAATCTAATGGAGCGCATCAGATTCCTAAAAAGATGTGAGCATTCAGGTATGGCAGAAATCAGCCCTACCAGTGGACATCTCAGTTACTTAGAACACTTGAGGGACACAATGTAAGAATTTTTTACTAATTGGGACTCCAGCCTAAGCAAACTGGCTTATTATCTACCACCCTCATCACTACACCAAGCTATTAAAGAAGGATCCCTTCCTCTAGACCCTGGGCCATGACCTGTCTCCCATACTTTCTATGGGGTCCACGTAAGAGATGTCTCTGAGGTTCAACTGTACAGCAGATGTGGATACTTCATCTGTTCCTCTCATCTCCCACCAGCCTAGAAGCTTTTACACCCCACTGTCTAGGTCATTATCATGCAAATGAAAGAACAAACCAAAA